TGGATGTGAGGTTTAGTCCCAGTCCCAATGTCCAGAGCATCTGTCGCGTCTTTAGCCAAAAATGGCAATGTTTACATGCGTGTCGCCTCCAGCGAATGGGACACCCATATCCCATATCCAATAGCTGCATCCAGCGGCTACATCCCAACGCGAACCCATTCCATAAACGCTTCGCAAACACTTTTTGCGTGCTGTTAATTACATGGTCCGGGAGTCGGGAGTCGGGTCTAGTCGGTCTCTGAGGGCATTTCCAGTTGCCAGTTTGCTCCTCTGGTGGTCTCATCTCGACACTCGGTTTGCTTGGTCATTGCTTCCTGGTAGAGGCAATCGTAGAACTTGTCGCCCATGTTAACAGGCCCACGGACCCGATGATTGATAGCCATAGGCACTAGGCCAATGTTAGTCCTAGTTAGGACATTGAAAATTTATAGGGAAAACTAATCAGATTAAGGCTTTAAATTACCAAAAATATGAATGGCAAATGCATTTAAAAAGCTGGTATGAAATTATGTTACTACTTTCAGTACACCTTTAAATCTGTGAATTTTGAATACAACTTGTAAGTCAACCTTAACATGTTTAATGTGTTATATTTTAATCTTAAAGTATTTAAGAATTATAGCTCCTTCCATAGTCAAGTCTAATGGTTAAACACACTTATAGATCACATTATAGTCACCAAAAAATCCTCCAGTTGAGTAATCACTTCAAACTCCTTTCAATGTCAGAAATCACGCAAGATGTTATTCCTTCTTAGAAAATCTTCACCCCAAAGGGAGGTAGGGAAACACCAAGAACCCCCTGGAGTCTGGACCTGGCTTAAACTCACATTTCTTTACCTAATCCGCCAAATTCTCACGCCTCACCAACAATTGCCACTTAATTAACGCGTACACTCACTTTGCCGCGACTTGTGTCGAAAATTTTCATTGTGAGCCAAAGGGCCAAAACGGTGGCATAAGCTGGGGCAAGGGGCACCGAAGGTGGAGGCTTGAAAGTCTTGTCATGCCAAGAAGTACGCGTGCGGGAATGCCAAGTCAATGAGATGCCCCCAGCGCGATATATTGCCCATTCCGAGCCGATCTGTTGCAATTTCCAAATCAAACAGCGCGCGAAACGTGTGGCGTCTGCAATTACAACACAAAAGAGGAGCACGGAGCAGTTGTGTGGCCAGCGGAGGAGGAGGAGGAGGAGGAGGTGGAGGGCAATACATGCTCCAAACATGACGAACAACAACTGTCATTGTCACATCCATCGATCCATCGAACCGGAGAACCATCGGAGAGCCAGCGAACGCTCATGCGCAACAGCAAAACCCATCGATCCGCTGATCGAACCAGCAATCGATTGACGACCGATCGTCCGACGAGAAGGAAGATGACCAACATGGGGATCCCGATCCGCTTTTTGTGCCCTGTTTTTTTTTTTATATATATAATTCTTATTTGTTTTTTGTTTTTGCTTCCTTTATAACTTTTGCTGTGCCCTTTCTGAGGGGTATCAACTTTTTGCTCAAAAGTTACGAAATGATATTCTCAATTTGTAATATGTTTTTTTTTTATAAAGGAAGTCACATGTTAGCCTTTAAAATTACTTTTTGAGGTGCCTAAAAGCATGAAATTAATTAGATTAGCTTGTAAATTAAGTGAAATTTATATACAACTTTGATTTTATATATGTAAAAGTATTTTAAATCGTTTAGGTATGTCATAAGTTTCACTAAATTTGAATAGCCTGGTTTTGTATTTATAATTATTAATTATGTACTCACTAGACATAGGATGAACCCTCTGTTCCTATTAGTAAATTTAAATTCGAGGAACATTTATTTAAATTAATTTAGTTCGCATCTCTAAAAATAAGAAATAGGTTTTCCAGACGCCTATTCATTTAATAATATATATATTAATTAATATGTACATATTTATATCTCAGGGTATTTTAATAATCGTTCTCTCAAACTCAAATTTCTTTCCTCTTCTCTTTCTTTTTTTTAGATTTTGTATGCTGGACAGGCTGTTTATAGTGGACGATGCTGGCGACTTGCAATTCATTAGGCCGCCTGACCATTTTTGGGATGAGCGTGCGCCGCTTTTGGTCTCTCGCCTCGGTGGATGCGGCAATAAGGCAACTTCAACTGCAAAAAAGCCAAGAGCCAAGAGGCAAGAGCATCGACTACCATGCCAACATAATCTTAATCCGCTCGTTAGTTTTATTGATTAGGAGCAGTGTCTCTTTGGGCCAGACAGCGACATCAGACCAAGACAACGACTCATTGGAGACGACAATTGTCGCCTCGGCGTGCCAACTAAATAACAACAATGGCACGTCACTCTCCAACTAGGCGTACTATGTGCCCCTCGGGTTATGAGATGCGGATGCCCAATAATGCCAATAGACCAATAGACCCCAATTGGGATCTATAAAACTAAAACTAAAAGTTATTTTATTAAATCTAAGAACCAAGAAGTAGTAAACTTACAACATTTAAGGGGATTTCTTTACATACTATTTCCTACTTTTAATTTAAATTAATTTAATTTATTATTATTATTTTTATTATTTTTCCCAGTGACACCTTTAGTGTCAGTTGTGTTATGAGTCTCCAATGAGTGTTTGAGGCCAATAGATTGTGAATCATTTACCAATCATTTGTAAGCTTTTCTCTAATTACGAATGACATAATTGGGAAAATCAGGATGAGTTAGGTTATATAACCTAAAGGGGAAATGTAGTGTGTAGTCTCTGATGTGATATTTAATTATTGATAGTTGTTTAAGCTTTGAACTGAATAATTTATGGGGTGACTAGCCCATTTTCCAAGTTAAAGTGTTTCCAAGAATTTATTAAAGTGCTGAACGTTGTTAAATATATACATTAAATCAATTTAAAAGCAGATTACGAATTAAATATATAGAGAAGACAAAAGAAAGAACTTCTAGGTGATGATTTATCATACTAATATTTTTTTATAGGATTCAATGCCTATCCCTTAGATATCCTTGAGTCTTTGCCTATGTTCAAGGTCTCCGAATAAGTTAAACGTCTCTCTGGCATTCTGAATCTTCATTTCCTGAACGAAAAATTATTTTCCCACCCGTAATTAAACAAAAACGCAAAAAATACTCAAAGTAAAGGCGAAACAAAACTGTCAAGCACTGTGGACACATGTAGCACGATCACTTTTTGTTGTGCTTAGCTTAGTCTCCTGGCTCTCCATCTTCATCTGCAGATCAGTAGCTGAAATCAGGATCAATGTAAGCCTGCCTCATCCAGGCTATGGTTTATCTTGCCCTCCGGCTCTCGTCTAGATCTGTCGGATGTCAGGTTGCATAGTTGGTCCAGCAATTGCATGTCGCGATCGTCCGAAGATCTACCTCAGTCTCAGCCTCAGTCCCAGCCTCTGAGCCACATCCTCAATCCTGAGTCGCTAAAACTTGAAAGCCACATTCGATGGCTGTGCCGCTGACAGCGCGGAATTGTCGTTCGCATTGTCAGCTGGAATGGGTTGGGAGACGGAGGGAGGGAGTCCCCTGGATCCAGGGATATGGTGGGGTTTATCCACCGACTTTTGCCGACGATATACAAAAGATGCAAACTGTCGCCGCTTGTTCCAGCAGTTGTTCCTGCTCGCTGACTCTCTCTCTTCTTCTGCTGCTGACAGTTTGCTGCAAGAGCAAAAAATGCGCTTGGGAAACTGCCACTGCGAGCTGCAGCTTAAATCAAATATTGAAATGCCTCAGAGCAGATCGGCGGATCGACCCTGACCTGCAGGTGCTCGATGCATGCCCCTCCTTTGCCCGGCTAATTGCAGCAAATAATTGCCCCTCCGCCAAATACACACAAATAAATTCCACTTGTTTTATTTTTTGTAATTTTTTACTCATTGTTGTTTTTTGTTTTATTGATTTGTTTTCGATAGCATTCGCATTTTCTGCTCGCTTTTTTCGTTTGTTGTTCTCCTTCGCATTAATACTTTACAAAATTGAATGTCTATGAGCTAGTATAAATTAATTAAATATTATATTCATATCGAGCTATATGTATAAACTTAGGCCTAGGACGTATCGTTTAATTAGCCAGCTAAGTGAATTTAATTAATTAGTAATACCTACATGGAGGGGAAGGGTGGAGAGAACGCACAACCAAAGGGCAAAGGTTTCAAATTAAATGCGTTTTCACAAAAAAATAATATTTCATATGATTTTTCTCTTTCTTTTGTATGTGCAAAATTTCATAAATTCCAAGCAATGATTTTAACCTAAAACTAATAGTAAATGTTAACTTATTTATGTACACAAAGGTAAAGTTTTTCATTTATTTAGCTTGGTAAACATTTTATGGAATTTTCTCTATCAGATTCCAAATTGTTTTCCAGCTCTGGGTATTTATCTTAAAGGCTTCTCCCTTCACCAGCTTCGCATACGTTTTGGTCCTGGCCAAAACATTATGGAAACAGGATTCAAGGATTATTCGCAAAGGACAGAGAAGGAGCTGCGCGCTATTTGAATTTGTTCAGTCTGTTTTTTTCGATTATTAAAAAAGAATATTTTAAAAACGACAGAAAGGGGCGAGAAGAAGGCAGGGGAACGCGCTACGAATCTTTAAGCTAAACTATAATTAAACCTTAGTCTAGGGATACAAAAAACGGAGGGAAAGGCTTTGTAATTTACAAAATATTTTGCATCGAGGGAGGGAGTCTCTTACATGACTAAAACTGGGCAAACACAAGTTGTATTCTCGTTCACTTTTTCTCAAAAACCTTTCATGAAATCTATTCATTAATATTCCTTCTGTAATACTGCTACAAAAAAGTGAGAGTTAAGGGGGACTCGGATGGTATTGAAGGAGACAATTGGTAGTTGTATCTTTAACTAGGCTATAGTCTAGGCTCTTAAGGTGCTAATAACAAAGGCTAAGCGTAGACAAAATACATAACACATACAGGCGGGGAGTGTGGGGCGGGAAAGGCAATATATAGGTGGAGGAGGGTGGCCTCCTTATAGACACGTGTAGATGACCTTCTTGGTTCGACACAGCTTGCACTTGACCTCGCAGCACCAGTGGAAGGTGCAGGCGCATCTCTCCACCACCACGACCTCATCCCGCCGATAGCCACGCCCGCAGCACATCAGACCACATCCATCGACGCCCAGGAGGTCTCATTACATTGCCGGCCATGGGTGCCCAGGATGCCATGTCGCAGATTCTTCTCACAGAAGCTGGGCGAAGGCTCCAGGTAGACCAAGTCCTTAGAGCCGGGTGGCTTGTGCTCAGGATTGTGGGGATTCAGTTGGAAGTGATATCTGCAAGGAGAGGAAAATAAAGAAAAGTCTATAAGTAAGCTATCGATAAAAGGCTAGGAATACTCTTTCAGATTTATCCTTTTAATTAAGGTAAGGTTAATAATATCTTTTGGTATGCTTACCTATTATGTTTGCGACCTTGTCGTCGTCATTTCTGGCCCTCTGACCGCCCTGCGGCAGACTGTTTGGCGATGGCATATTCGGATGATGAATCTTGTTGTTCGGATGACTGTTCTCCAGCAGAATGTCCGGCATGTGATCGTTGAGCATGCGCTCTTCCTCCTCCCCGTAGACCACCGACTGGGGAATGATCAGACCATTGGAGCTCACAGAACTGGAACCGGCGGCATTCGGACTGATCCCTGGCAGGACATTGCTGGCTCGCAGGCTATTGCTCACTTGGACGCGGGTGGCACCATCGAAGCGGGCCTTGAGATTGTCACCGATCACCCGGAAGTTGGCCAGTCGCATCCAGCAGGTCTTCACCGTACAAGAGCCGGACATGCCGTGGCATTTGCACTCCTGACGCATCTCCGCCTGGACGTGCTGCAGATTGAGAAACGGAGAAGAAGAGATTGTTCATTAGTATGACTTTATTAGGCTCCTTGCGAATCGACTCGCCTTGCAATATGTTTTTCACTTAATTATTTTGCTGTTTTTTTTCAGTCCGGTTGTTTTTGCTGGCTGGGAGATTGGCGGCCCGCCTGCCACGTTGTTGCAGTTATTAAAAATCAATAAATGTTGTTGCAACTTGCTGTGCGCTTGTTGCAAGTTCCTACCCCCCTCCCTCTCTCAAGCTTGCCGCTTGTAATTGTTGTGCGCCGGACCAAAAGTAAGAAATCAACGCAGTTGGGGGCCTTCAGCCGGAGCAGCCACAGCAGCCAATGATCATCATCATCCTCATCATTGGACCACAAATGATCCAATGATTATGGAGCTGCGGCCCATAACAAGTAATAAAATAATAACACAGATGGTGGGCCCTGCACTCCGAAGGAGTCGAGTGGAAGGAGACAGCGAGGACTAGGCCTCGGATCCGGTGGGATCGATGGAATCGATCGAATGGATCGAACTCTAGGCTGGATGCTGGCGCAGTGTGCTACTTTCTACGCCCCACTAAAAGCGGACAGCAGGAGGAGGAGGTGCACAGTGGTATTGAAATTAAATAAATTAACTTGGGAAATCGATTGGAAAATGTATAAAGAGTGATCACGAAGGTTTCAATATGAATATCCATATTTTATGGTTGAATACTTATTCAAAAGATATTTAAACTAAAACGATATACCGAAAGTTACTTATTATTATAATTTAAGATATTTATTTAGTTACTATACATTTCTCTCAGTTTTTTTTATATTTTAACTACTGTACTGTTGCCCCAAAAACTAAACTAAAATCCTCCTATTTTTCTTTGCATGTAGAGGGAAACTGGAAGCTGTCAACGGTTTAATATACGATCGACACAAGAGCAAATGAGTCCCCCCCACATTCTCTATAGAGAAAGATGAAAACCATGGAGGAGAGAGCTTATCTCCAACTACCTAAGCCAATTGGCATTCACTGGCAATTAATTGCGGGGACGGAAATTGTCGTCGCTGGTTTTATTAGCTCAAAAGTCGTAAATCGCCCAGCCAGGCTTAAACCGAACATTAGGACTACTTATTACGAGGTGCACTGGGAAAAACACTATGCTTGAATTCGCATAGATTCTTTAGGTCCCATTTAATCCTTATTTATTATAGAAATACAGCTAAACTTACCGCTCGTCCCGCCTCATTGTTGTGCAGATTCATTTTCTCGCGCAGATTGCGACCCCGCTCGCCGGTATCAACAAACTCCCGGGAGAACTTGAAACCGAATCCAATGTTGTCCGAGCAGCCGCCCCATTCCCAATCCCGGACACCAGCCACACTGCCCGCCTGGTTGGCTTGAGGGGATCTCGACTGGTGGCTATAGTCGCAGGTGCAGGACTCGATGGTGCCCTCGCTGCAGGCCCTGGCAATAGAATGGGTAACCGCGGCACTGGTGATGGCATAAATGAAACTAGTCTCACGGCAGCCTGTAAGAAAAACAAAAAGAAAGGGATTTAGTTAACTTTTATAGACAAAAATATTTAAAAAACGAGAAGAAGAGTAAACATTTTTAATGGTTTAATTCGATTCAAGCAACTACTTATCATTACAAAGTTTATTCACTGTGCAGTCATTATTTCTCGCCTTCTGGGTGTTCCACTTGGCACTGCTTGGCTGGACCAAGACAAGATCTCAATCTTGGCCAAGTCAAGTGATGGCCAGAGAGACGTGGGCAAGAGTTGAAGATTCTTTTTTTTCCTTCGTTATGAGTAATGGCACTTGTCTTCCAAAGTCTGGTCAATTATGACACTTCAAGTTATCAATGCCACAGGGCCACCAAGGAAAAAGAGATGAGCGCACCAAAACCTGACACAGATTAAACGCTCAACTATAAATTCCAACTTAACACTTTGGGGCCATCGCTACGAAGTCCATTCGAGTGGACAGTTTCCTCCTTGTCCGCTTCAATTTTATTATTATTTTTTTATTTTTTGATGGTATATTTTTAGTAACTGCCTCCGTTTCTGTTTCGGTTGCTGTTCCGAGAGCGAGACCATCGCAGATAAAGAACAATGAAAATTGAATTTACATGTTGCAGATAATTTTTCAAGTGGTTTCGCCTCAGTTCATAGCTCACAAGATATGATATATATATGTGTATATAGGGATGGTCTACGGTCAGGTAGCTGGAAATTCTTGGGTATTTCGAATGAGTAAGCGACTCACTGGGAATGGATGGACTGTCAACTTTGTTTGGTACTTTTAGGGTTTAGTTTCAAAGAGTGTAAAGTACTTGAGATCTTGAGAAATTATATTTATAATAAAGATTTAACAGTCTCTAAGATAACTTTATTGAGTCTTAGAATTCTTTTAACTTGAGCTGAAGTCATCCTATTTTTAGAAAACCCCCTTTATTTTTATTTTTTTGTACAAGTGCTGATTGATGTATCTATGATTGACTAGTCTCCACTTGACGATTGACACATTCTCGCTGCTCTAATATCAACGAATCAACAACTTCCGCTTGGTGTTAAAAAATTTTGCCGCTTTTGATTTCGATTTCCTGGAATTCGAGCAAGAAATGATTTGTTTCTTTCGTTTTTTTCTCATCTATTTTTTGTGGAAACTATGGCACAGAGTGAGCCTTCAATTCCCGGTTAATGTTTGTTTGTTTGCTGTTGGTGGTTTCGTTTTTCCTTAAATAATTTCACGTATGTAACGAAATTTAAGGCGCACACACAGGTAAATTGTGTGTAAATATGTGCAAGATGTTTGGGCCGCGATAAGGCGGCGGCGCATGCGCAAACGCTTTGGGAAATTACTCTGAGTATCTGAGGCGTGACACAGTCATCATATATTGGTGACTTTGTTATTTTTTCTGGTGATTAGCTTAGCAAGAATTCGCGTTACTTTTTTTCTGTTTTGGGGAGGCAATTTGGTGTTTGCATTTCGTACTCCTTTTGTGGTTTCTTTGGGTAAATAGCGAACAAAAGGCTATAAATAAGAACGAGCTGGGGCTGGTGCACCCTGAGCAATTAAGCAAAGAAATGCCAAATGAGCGGGGAGTGGCCAAAATGGAGCAACGAGGAAAGTAAATAAAATTTCCGCATGTAATGCGATACCTTCTTTATTTTTTTATATACACATATGCCTTGTATAATTGCCCAAAAACGGATTTCCGTTGTGTGTGGGCGTGGCTCGAACTGATTGAAATTGAGATCAGGGGAGGGGAATCAGAAGCAGGATCAGTGCAGGATCAGGATACTGAAAAAAGGACTAAGCTGCTTAGTGACAGCACAGCAGTTCCCGGAATAGTTTAGACCTCTTGATATAAAACCCACAGGGACAGCCACCCGGAGCGGCTTCGTCACGAAACCGATGATTGCCAAAAAAAAGTAAAGGAGATGAAGATCCCTGACAGAAACCCAACGAGAATTCACTAATAGAGACAGCCTGTTAAAGCGTGTGGCGTGGCAAATTGACAAGGTGTCACCAATTAGAAAACAAGTTAGGGAAGCCTAACCCGGCAGCAAGAAATACAAATGAAATGCAGCCCAGACAGGCGATGAATTATGCCCCGCTGCAGGGTTCCTTAAGAAGTTTTAAAGCCACTGGCTCTGCGTTTTAGAACCCCGAACCCCAAGTGTTAATGGTTCGCTCTAGGTGTTAATTAGGGCCAAGGGCAAAAAAAGGGAGAAATGGAAAAGCATTAAAAAAATTTGATTGTGGAAAGCGATGAAAGTGCTACGATAAAAAGCTGTCACCGGGGCAATAATTTCCCTTTTCTTTTAAGTAATCCATAAAATGTCAAGAGCTCATAAAAAGGATGTTGCCGGCACAGAGTCAAAATAACTTGATAAGGTCAAGAGCCTGGCTATAAAAGTCAGCTGCCGTTGACAGACGGTCCAAGGAGAAGCCACGCGACGCCGCCACGCCCCCTATCAGAGACCAAAGACCCTAAGATATATATGAGTCGAGTTTAGATATATAGCAACTACCTGGCAGGATCTCAGGAAGCAGGACAAAAACGGTAGCTAATAAAACGGCAGGCGAGGGCGGGAGTCTGAATAGAATGGGATGGATTTCCAGCTAAAAACGCGCCAGGACAAAAACTGCGCATGCGCGACTTTTGTTTACATTTATATAACAGAGAGAGAAACTGCTGGTTTCGAACCATTCTCCTGGGATTTTTCGCTGGCGCAGCAGGCGAACGAACGAACGACTAGTCCCAGAAGACAGACAACTGGGCTTGATTGATTTGAATGGCTGAGTGAGTGACAACAGTTGATTCTGTCCTGTCCCGGACTGAGTCACTCCTGGTCCTGGTCCTGGTGTGTGGTGCTGCCAACTTGTGCTCATTAGCATAAACACGCTGAAACGCAAGTGGAGCAAGTGCAGCGATCACAGAGACAGCTCTTTGTTTTCGCCGGAGCGGGGAAAGTGGGCCCCTTCGAAAGGGTAGCCACCAGACTACATATGTAGATATATAATAAAATATATATACATATTACCAAGTGCTCAGATCGTATTACAATAACAAACAAGCGCCACACACATATTGCAGTGTGGAAGAGGTCCAGGGAGTGACATTTCATAACATAAATAAAGTGGAAACTAAAGGGAAAAAAGAAACTGGATTCATGTCGGTTGGCCTGAGTTGGTTATGCAAGCAATTTGTGTTGTCAGATTGTAGTTTCTAGTAGTTAGTAAATGGAAAAACGAAGGCGTTGACAACCATTGATGGACAGATCATATTTCCCCATGGTAAAGAGTGTTTTAAGTGGGCTGCAAGGATCGCAGCCAGAGCTAATGATGCCCCAAGACCTTTTCTAAGTACATTTTCTTGAACTCACCTCGATCCACAATTTTTCCAAATAGATTTTTGCCTCGCGAAAAGTTTCTCGTTGAGCAATTCCAGCGACGATTGCGGAACTGATGCTGGCACTCGCTTATGGCCAAATTGGCGCCCTTAACCAAGGCTCCCAATACACCTGGATTATCCCGGACCAGGCGTCGCTGTTTTCTTCTCAGTGTAGAGTGGATGGCCGGATCCATATACATGATGGGTGTAATATTATTGGGTTCGCCGACCTTGGCAATGCCCCTGAAAGAAAACGAACCAGAAAAACCGAAAGTTAATAGGGCAATCTTTGTTGAGAATGGATGTCATAGCTATTTAATGCCTGACTGGTTATTTTGCGCCTAATTATGAGAACGAAATAAAAAAAAACCAGCTGAAACATTTTCATAGCATCTACAGCACTTTGTTCCCTACATATTTTCCAGGGTTTTGTGTGTCTTTCCACTTGACTTGAGACCGAGTTGTTTTTCGGCTTTCGGTTCGGTGTGTGTGCAGTATTTTTTTGTAGGTTTTCCATTTTGCGGCTTTTCTGTGTCGTTCATAATATTTTCCAACATTTGTTGTTGCTGGGCGGTACACGTCAATTGCCGGCGTTACTCAGGCATAAACCACATACACCTATTAAGTACACTCACATGGAGATAGACAAATATTTGCAGACACCTGTCGGCTAACGCTTTGCTCCGCTCTGACCTGTCATAATTTATTTTCTTGTTTCAACTGTTGATATTTATAATATTTTTTCCACGCTTCATTAGCCGATATATTTTATTTAAGCATATATAACAAGCAATAAATAAACACAATTAAATGTTTATTGACGGGCCTCGGGGAATGCAAATAATTGCCAATTCAATTGAATGCTAATTCCGATGGGAACAGAACATTATTCGCCGCCCAAAAACAATTGCGCAATGGCACACACAAAATTAATAAAAAAAGTACGTAAATTAAGCAGAAACAATGAAAAACAAAAACTTGATTGAATGTGTAACATCTGCCATAATCGAGAGGCAAGGGGAATACGCGGGGTCCAGTGATTGCCAATCGATTTTAATTCCCAGGCGGATTAAATCGATGCCCCAAACTGAGATTTATGCGACGGCAATCCGGAGTCGCGGCAGCAATTTGTGTCGATCGGTATGTTCGTGTGTGCCTGCCTTTGTGTTTTTATGTATTTTGCGTTGATTTTTTATTGTTGCGACTGAAATTTATCCGTTATAAAAAAGTTATTAAGGCTTAGCTGAAGTTTTGCACATGATAAAAGT